GGGGCGTACTCATGTTTTCCACGCGTTAGCGGTTAGACCATTGACCACACATCCTCGGTTTCACACTGGGCAGCGGGGGGGGGGGGAGCGGGGGGGATTCTGGGCTGGTCTGTTGGTCTGTCGTGTACATTGCACCCAGTGTAAAACGAGCAATTATGGCGGTTCGGTACGTTTTTTCCGGTCCCACCAACTTTTTCGAGGTGAAGGACGGTTGCTGTTGCCGTGGGAAAAAATCAGCATGACTGGAGGAGGCGGTCTGGTGGTAAACTTGTCGCTACTTGCCTTTTGGGCGCGGAAGGGCTGGTCCCGAGAAACGTTCTTCGCCCGTTGTTCTGTGTGCCTTGTGATGATGTGGTTCATGCGCGTGCACCGTAGCGAAGTTAGTCGGCAAGTTTCGTTCCAAGCGCCGTCTCGAAGGGCGGTGTCCACCGTGAGAGGGGCGTCGGATGCGGGCCCAGATAGACACCTATCGATATCGTTCGTTCCACCACAGCAGTCCATCCTGTTTGCTCCACACGTATTGGTCTTCGAAGACTCGCCCCCCCGCGTCGCATACACGCACCCGTAGGCGGACGCCCCCCAAACCTACCACCGCCCGCAAATCATCCTCCGCATATCATCCTCCGCGCCCCCCCCCCTAACCTACGACCGCCCACAAATCACCCCGCGCGTCAACCCTAAAATCTCGCGGTCTAAGGTGAACGCCTTGAGAAAATCGGTGCTTCTCCAGGCCTTCTCCGTCGACCACATCATGCGGCTGCGCTTGCACTCCTGGGCTAGCGGGGCAGGCGGCGTGGACACGCTCTCTGTGTCGGAGATGTTCGAGAGCGCGACTAACGCCGTGTGGGGCGACGGGGGCTTCGGCAGCGCCCGCGCGAAGCTGTGGCAGAACTGGGACCTGATGCTCTTCTGGCTGGAGGTGTTGCAGGCGAGTGTTTTTTGGTACATACCCGCGCACAAGGTGCTTTACCCGTACCAGGTACAGCGGCAACCCGTACCGTATATGTTCGGAGGTGTTGCAGGCAAGAGTTTCGTACCCGTACAGGGTACATCAGCAACACGTACCGTACAAACCGTACCGCCGAACATGGAACGAATGGCGATCGTCTCAGAAGAAGGCGGAGGAGTAGGGGTATTTCGTGGGCCGGCCTGGTATCGGCTAAATTTCTTGTACCCTTTGATGTTGGAACCGTGTCCCTAATTTGTCACACGTATGTACGTTGGTTGATGTCGGCAAACAAAACTCTTTTTTTTTTAGCGTCCGCATACGATGTCGCCTGCACCCATAAACTCCATACCCGTGGTGCTTCCGCCCCCCCCCCCCGCCCCCCCCCCCCCCC